ATTTCCTTACAACCTACAGCCTACAACAGTTTACTGACAACTTCCAACAACTTCCTCACTTAAAACTTATTAACAACTTCCAACAAGTCCTCACCTAAAACAAATTAACAACTTCCAACAACTTCCTCACTTAAAATTTATGAACATCAACTCCCTCACTTAAAACTTATCAACAACTTCCAACACTCATACAACACACAACAAACTCCCTCAGTTCAATTCCTCACCAACCAACTACCTCCCTTACCTCCTCACAACTCTCACACAACACACACCTCCCTCAGTCCAATTCCTCACCAACCAACTACCTCACAAACCCTCCTTACCTCCTCACAACTCTCACACAACACACACCTCCCTCAGTCCAATTCCTCACCAACCAACTACCTCACACAAACCTTCCTCACAACTCTCACACAACACACACCTCCCTCAGTCCAATGCCTCACCAACCAACTTCACAAACCTCCCTTACCACACGTCCCACAGCTGAAGACATAGCGTGACGTCCACCCAGAGCTCTCCAGATGGTACACCCAACAGTAAGGAAAACGACACGTGCACTGTTCCTCCACGCAGACGAGCTGGGGGTCACTCCAGCGTAGGCAGTCGCTGTTTATACTGCACGGGAGGCTGGGGAGCTTCACTGAGGAGGGGGGGGAAGAGGGGGAGAGGGGGGTTAGAGGTGGTGGTGGTGGTGATGGTGAGAATGGTGATTTGATGATAGGAATGGTAATAATAATGCTAATCATAATAATGGTAGTAGTAGTAGTAATAGTAATGGTCATTATTATGATAATATTATTAATAATATTGATAATAATGCTAACAATAATGATAACAACAACAATAATAATAATAAAAAAAAATGAAAATAATACTATTGATAATAATAATAATAATAGTAATAATAATAATAATGTTCATCATCATCATCATCATTATCATTGCCATTATCATAATCATAATTATACTACTACTACAACTACTACTACTAATAGATTAATGATAATGATGATATTGATGATAATAATAATAATAATAATAATAATAATAATAACAATAACATTAGTAACAACAGCAATAATGGTAATGATAATAATTACATTGATAATGATGATAATGATAATAATAACAACAATAATAATTATGACGATAATGATGATAATTATCATTACCATTATTGTTATCATTTTAATAATGATAATAATCGTTATTATCGCAATAATAATAATAATAATAATAATAATAATAATAATAATGATAATAATAATAATAATGATAATAATAATAATAACAATAATAATAATAATAATAATAATAATAATAATAATAATAATAATAATAATAATGATAATAGTAATGATGATAATAATGATAATAATAATGATAATAATAATAATAATAATAATAATAATAATAATGATAATAACAATAATAACATTGATAATGATAATTACAATAATAATGATACTGATGATGATAATAGTAATAATATAAACATATAGTAGTAACAGTTATAGTAGAACTAGGACCAGTAATAGTAAAAATAGTAATAATAATAACAATAACAATGATAATAATATTTGTGATAATAGTCATAGTTATGATAATGATAATGGTAATGATAATGATGATGGAGATGATGATAATAATAAAAAATTATGATAGTAATAATAATAGTAATGATAATGATAATAATAATAATAACAATAATAATGATAATAATAATAATGACAATAATAATGATAAATAATAATGGTAATGATAACAAAAAGGATGATTATAGCAATAACTACAAAACAATGATAATAATAATAATAATAATAATAATAATAATAATAATAATAATAATAACAATAATTATAATGGTAATAATAATAATAATAATTATAATGATAATAACAATAATAATAATGGTAATAATAATAATAATTTTAATAATGATAATAACAATAATTATAATGGTAATAATAATAGTAATTGATGATAACAACAATAATGACAATGACAATAACAATGATAGCGATAATAATGATGACATAACAGAAATGATAATACTAATAACTATAATAATAATAATGATAATAATAATACTAGTAATAATAATAATAATAGTAATAATGATAATAATAATAATAATAATAATAATAATAATAATAATAATAATAATAATAATGATGATGATGATAATGATAATAATAATAATAATAATAATAATAATAATAATGATAATAATAATAATAATAATAATAATAATAATAATGATGATGATAATGATAATAATAATAATAATAATAATAATAATAATAATAATAATAACAACAATAACAACAATATCAATTATAATAAAATAACAACAATTATAACAACAACTAATAACAATAACAATAATATAAATAATAATAATAGAACAATAATTATCATCTTTATTAAAATAATGATGATGATAACAGTGAGAAAAATAAAACAATAATAGTAATAATAACAACAAACCTAGTGATACTACTACTACTACTACTACTACTACTATTACTATTACTACTAAAACTACTACTACTACCACTAATAATAATAAAGAACAATAAAATCAATAATTGTAATAATAATAATGATAATAATAACAACAATTATAATTAGGCTATAGACGTAGCAGTAACAATGATGATAATTATGTTAACAAGAGAAAAATATAAACAACAACAATGATGATAACAACAATAACACTAGTGGTTGTGATAATGATATTATCATTATTATTATTAACATTGTTGCTACTATAGTAATGATAATGATAACAATAATAATAATAATAATAATAATAATAATAATAATAATAATAATAATAATAATATGGATAATAATAATAGTAATGATAATGATAATAACAATAATAATAATAATAATGATGATGATAATAATAATGATAATAATAATAATAATAATAATAATAATAACAATAATAATAATAATAATAATAATAATAATAATAATAATAATAAAAGAATTATAAAAGAATTATAATGTCATAATATATGATAATAATAATAATAATAATAATAATAATAATAATAATAATAATAATGATAATGATAATAATAATAACAATAAGTACTATCTTTATTATATATATCATCCTCATCATCCTCATCATTACAATTATCAGCAACCAAGCCCAAGCCCTCGCCAACAACAGCACGAAACGCATCCGAACATCAGGTCTCTCACCCACCCAACCTTTTCTTTCGCGAATAACATAGAGACCCCGAGTATAAAATAATCAAAATGCCTCTACGACTTAATCTAATCAACAAAAAATATATTTATAAAGCCATTTAGATTAGTTAGAGTGACTAACGTCTTTATACAAGAGTTAGAGGGACACGTTACCTAATTATACATTCACTCGCTAAGACACGTGATATCGATAACCGCAGTGATAATATCTATAACTAGAACGCTGGAGAGCACCAGGAAAAATAATAAAGAAAAGAATAACACGTATTGAAAAATTAGGAGCAAAAGTAAATAAATTAAGGGAGCCTAAATGTAAAGAAAGAAAAAAAAACTATATATATATATATATATATATATATATATATATATATATATATATATATATATATACATACACTTTTCTCACCTTTAGTTTTATCCGCGGAATTTAAATTAAAATAGAAATAAATAAATAAATGTAATAAAAAAATAACGGAATAAAAAAAATACAATATTTCTTTTCTCACCTTTCGTTTTATCCGTAAAATTTCCAAATAAATCGTCCTCTTCTCGGCGACTGGTCTTCGCTTCCGTCACAGACACGCTTCCTAAGGGCGTGTTGAGACGTCTCTTCAGATCCTGCACGATAGGTAATCCTGCAGGTTGCCATTGCTGAGTCCCTTCTGCTGTGCAATGAACACCTACCATCCATATTAAGAGCAGGAGACTATATTCTCTAGCCATATTTTATACTATTTGTGTTATTTTCCTTTTTTCTAAAATCTATTTTATCCTTCAATCACTACACTTCGTCGAATCTGAAGCAAAACATCGTCAGTCCTCAGTTGTTCTCGGAAATGAAAAAAAGCCCACGAGACGATTTTACAAAATGGCGGCTTCACTTCGTCCAGCGTTCAGTCACATTCTGCCTTTTTCTTTCTTGAAATGGGGAGAAGAAGAGGGAAGAGGGGGGACTTAACCACACGCACACGGACAGAGTACCTTACAAACTAAACGCCACGGTCTCTAATCTCCTTCCCTTAAGATCCAGGAACCGTAGTTTATCCTCGAAAAAAAGGAAGGAAAATTCAGATAGCGGTAGTATAGGCCAGCAGACCCGCGACACGAAGACTACTGGTGGCGAGGTATTACAGGAGGATATAGCGGGGAGGGGGGGTGGGAAAAGGGGGGGGGGTAGGGAGGAGGGAGAGGAGGGGGGGAAGAGGAGGAGGAGGGAGAGGAGAAGAGGAGGGGGAGGAGGGGGATGAGGGAGGAGGGAGGAGGAGGGGAAGGGGGAGGAGGAGGAGGAGGAGGAGGAGGAGGGGGAGGGTGAGGGTGCCTGATAAGAACAAAGAGGGAGAGGGAGGAGGGGGGGGGGGTAATAGAGAAGGGAGAGGGGGAAGGGGGGGGGATCTAAGCGACGGGGGAGTAACTGTGACTGATATTTTCACGATAAGATTACGATAGTTCGTTACCCAATACCCTTTTGGATTGACGTTTTATATCAGCAACATTGCCGAATTGAAGAAGAAGAAGGAGAAGAAGGAGAAGGAGAAGAAGAAAAAGAAGAAGAAGAAAAAGAAGAAGGAGAAAAAGAAAAAGAAAAAGAAAAAGAGAAAAAGAGAAAGGAGAAGGAGAAGAAGGAGAAGGAGATAGAGAAGAAGAAGGAGGAGGAGGAGGACGAGGAGGATAAGAAGAAGAAGAAGAAAAAGAAGAAGGAGAAGAAGAAGAAAAAGAAGAAGAAGGAGAAGAAGAAACAGAAGAAGAAGAAAAGAAGAAGAAGGAGAAAAAGAAAAAGAAAAAGAAAAAGAAGAAGAAGAAGAAGAAGAAGGAGAAGAAATCACACACACACACACTGACTCCCACTCATTCTTAAAGAACTCAAAAAATACTAGAAAAAAAAAAACAATTGATAATAGGCCACCAAATCCAGGAAATGAAGCACAAATTACAAGAATGTTTCGCCGCCGAAACTCGACGAAAAGTGATGACATGAAGGCTAAAAAAATAGGAAAATAAATAGGCAAAATTATAAAACGTGACCAGAGACTCCTACATTCACTTTAGTAAGATGTATAGGTAAAGATTATGTCATCATTGCATTAAGGAGAATAGACCTATATAGGTGCCATAAACCCGGTAGATTACATAACGAAGATATACTGAAAATAACTTTGTCGTTTTATAAAGGATAAAAAAAAAATGTTATATAACTTTTGTAAAACTAACTAAACTAAAACTAATAATAACAATAAACTGTATTTTTCAGTTATGATAATATCAATATTATCATCATCATTGTTATTCAGTATATATATATATATATATATATATATATATATATATATATATATATATATATATATATATACATAATATATATATATATATATATATATATATATATATATATATATATATATATATATATATATACATAATATATATATATATATATATATATATATATATATATATATATATATATATATATATATATATATTTTTTTTTTTATTATTATTATTATTATTATTTTTTTATCATCAGTATATTATTTTTTTTTGGGGGGGGACACTTTTGGACGGAGTGCCTTTATATAATGTGGTAATAAAAATGATATTTGACAACACTGATTTCATCAGTTACGGCAAGATAAACACTAGCGATTTACACAGAAATAAAACATTTACAATAAAATTCGTAATGTTAATATAAAAAAAAACATTATTTGTAAAAAAGAGAACATATTTTTAGACCAATAAACTGTAAAACTTACGATGAAAATACTAAACAAACTTATAAAACTTACAATGGAAACATAATAACAATAACAATTACAGAACTGGCAAAAAAATAATAAATAAATGAAAAATAAAAAATAAAAAGATCACAGTGATACAACGAAAATAAAATTTGCACATTGGTAATAAGGAAAAAAAAAGATGCTCCCCCCAAAAAAAAGAAACATAAAGAAGATTAAAAGCAATGATATCAAAACCAAAAACACAAAATATGGTATCAAAACAAAAACAAACAAACAAAGAAACAAACAAGTTATAAAAAACAGAGAAAAAAATACCAGTTACTAAATATAAATAACATTAATAACAACAATGACTCTGACGTCAATACGTTGGTTATGACGAATGACAGTTTATCTCCATTTCCTGGTTTTATCTACGTGATAAGCCAATAAAACGTGATACCACCTTTATGTGTTCTTTTCTTTCTCTCTCTAATGTTTTTTTTAAAATCTTATTGACAGGAATGACAAATATACACCATATGTCAACTTTGCCTTTATACATAGATGAGGCAATTATCATTATTATTATAGTCCTACCTATCTAATCTCTTTCACGTTTTCTTTGATAAAAAAATGTATATATATATTCTTTTTATTTTTATTTTCTTATTGCTATTGGGATTGTTGATAAAGCTATTAATTATTGAGGTGTTTGTGTGTGTGTGTGTGTATGAGATTCATAAGAACATCTGCCGCTGACCTGACCCCAGGTGGCCAAGGGAAATATGACTCAGCTGCAGAGAGAGGTCAACCCCAGGCCCTGGAGGCCCGCTGCAGGCGGCCACGCCCCTGGGCAAGGCAAAGGGAAAAATGACCAGTGTCCCCAGGCGGCCACGCCCATGTGAAGGTTGGGCATTGGCAGTTTCTTTAGCCACGCCTCTGTAGCTCCGCCCCTGGCTTCCAGTCACCGCTACTTATTTTCCAAGGATGACCCTTCAAACCAGAGTGTGCCGTGGGGCGGTCAAGGTCACAACAGCCCGCTGGGCCGGCCTGCCGTTGAGGTGGGCTGGCCGGTGACCCCAAGTGACCAGCCCATAACTCAAGCCCTGTCAACGTTGTGTTTATTCTCTGTGTGCTTTCTCTTATCAAATAAAGAGATTTAAGCCACCAAGCTTTTACTATTCCCTGTCACCAATGTTTAGAGGTCCCTTTTAATAACTCTTATAGTGTGTGTTTGTTTGTGTGTATGTGTGTGTGTGTGTGTGTGTGCATGTGTGTGTTCTCTGCAAATACTCAAACGATATGTATTTGGAATGTGGTAAAATGATTTTTTCTGTTGACAATATAATCTCGAATATTTCATAACAAAACATGAATCATGACGAAAAAATAAATATTTTAAACGTCTACAAAATATTTTTATTCAAAAATGAATTAAAATTTAGAAACATTAGCCATTCTATTGACGTCATTAAGCTATAACCAGTCCTATATATATGTATTTTAGTAATAAATAAATAAATAAATAAATAGATAA